AATAGCCAAGCTCCAACCACTAAGAGCACAGTTCCCTAATTTTGGAAGGAGTTCTGTCTTTCTTTCCCAGCTGGAACACAGCTGTAGGCTTTGGGAGGACTTCCAACTGCAGAGGAAATGTGTGTAACCAATATGCTGGTCTGCAGTCAGAAAGCAAATTTATCTTGTCACCCTCTGTCCTTTTAGAATTTACTTCCTCAAGGGAAATTCTTCCCTGGCTTCTGGCTTCTGGGCAAGCTTTCGGCAGTCCGATGACTTTTCCGTTCATTCTGATAGTTGTGTTTTTGTGAAACAGAGTCTCGTTTTAGCAGTCAGTGTCCAGAGAGCCCCATGCTTACTCTCTTTTGTGCGTAGCCCGCATTTTAAGTGGGAGACTCCTAGGATGCAGGCTGACCCTAACTTGGCATCCTCTTCTCTGTCAGCAGGGCAGCTCCCCTGTCTGTCTACCCTTGGCTTTTTCAGAAGAGACACTGCTAAGCTCTGGGCGATTCCTTGAGGCCTCAGTCTCTTGACCTGAGGTGAAGTGACCTCTACTCCCAAAAAACTCCCTCCACCCAGTTCTCTTAGTCTTTAACAGCTGGGTCCATTTATAATCTTCAGTGCAACAGAAATTAGGTTTAAGAGTCATATATGGTGCAAGCAATAAAGATACTTATTTCAGACTGTGAAAAACAGTCATATTAGTTTTTGGGGATTTCATTGAAAATCTGGATGTCGGTTTGGGACTTTGCTTTGGAATATCATACTTAGTGTGCCTTGGTGCCTGGTTGAAACTTCCAATTTAGAATCCTATTACATATGATTTCCTAAAGATTGTTTTCTCCTCCCATGAAAACTCTCTTTTAGATCAGTGGCAAAGAAAGTGTGAGTGCATTAAAACAAGTCTGGGATGGGAAAATTAACAGCATCTGTTTATTGCATGATTGGGTAGCTTAGAACAACCTCTTTTTTGTTTTTAAAGCTCGAACTGGAATTGGTAAAATCTTTAAAGGTTTGCAATCAAAAGAGGAACCCTTTTCATAATCTCTAGAGCTAAAGAAGCATGCAGGAGGTTGTTTAATGCCATCTTTTTTTCTTTTATAGAGGTCTTTGTCCTTTAAATTTGGTTAATCGGTTTATCCAACATACCCATCTAAGCACTCACTATCTCCTTGGCACTTTGTATGGCATTGGGAACACAGAGGAAAACAAAACAGTGCCTTTTCTTGTTTAGAGTGGAGCCCATTTCATGAAGATTTCATAAAGATTTCAGAGTGAGTTTTATAATGAAAGTAGGTTATAAGAGGGCAGGGCAGAAATGTAGAAGGGAGCCATTTCTATTAGCTTGGAGTGTGCAGAGCTGTCACTTGTAGGATACATAGGTAAAAGATAGCTTTCAGGGATAGGAAGCCAAAGAAAGAATATGCACAAAGGTATTGGAGGGATGAAAGAGCATGGCGCATACATATGGGTTGGCCAATACATTGTTTTTTATCAAATTTTTTTCTTATTATAATAATTTATCATTTCCCCAGATGTCTCTTACCTTTTACTGTCATTCCTGATAAATTCATTTTGTCCACACGTCCTTAGCATCGTGAATTTTCTGGAAACCAAAACAAGAACAAATCTTTCAAGTTGTTTTTTTCTCACACTGTTGAAAACTGTGTTTGAGTAGTGTCTGGGTCTAGAATTGTATTAGTGAATCAGCTTTTTCTTGGATTGACAGGAGTAGCTCCTCGTACTTAAAACCAGTAACAACTTCTGGATCAATATTAATTGATAGTTTCCTAAATACTCTCAGATTAGATAAAATAAAGGAAAACCTCCCCTATTTGTGATGAATTTTGTGGTAGGTAGAATAACAGCTCCCTAAAGATGTCTATACCCTAGTCTTTTGAACCTGTGAATATGTTACCTTACATAGCAGTAAGGACTTTACTGGTATGATTAAGGGTCTTGAGATGGAGAGGTTATTCTGGATTGTCTCGGGGGTGGGGTGGGGAGCAGTATAATCACAAGTGTCCTTAAAAAGAGAAGGTAGGAGGGTCATAGGTGGAGAAGATGTGATGATAGAGGCAGAGGTCAGAGTGATGGCTGTGAGCCAAGGAATGCTGGCAGACTCCAGAAGCTGGAAAAGGCAAGGAGATGGATTCTCCTCTGAGCCTCTAGAAGGAATACAACCCTGCTGACACCTTGATTTTAGCCCCTCAAAACCTATTTCAGGCCTTTGACCTGCAGAACTGTAAGATAATGTATTTGTGTTGTTATGAGCCACTAAGTTTGTGGTAATTTGTTACAGCAGAAATAAGAAACTAATACAAATTTCAATAAGCATTTTATAAGCAGCATCATTTTTGAAAGCAGAGATGCATGGTAGCTGTAGTCAAGAGTGTGAACATTGTAAAACTAAGTAGTTATTCCTTAATGAATCATTAAAAATGCAAACATTGAGATCCTTTAAAAAGTAAACTTATTTAGTACAGTAACACTTTAATTGGCCCTATTCTCCATTCCTATTTTTAAGTGGGTGGTTTTTTTTTTAGAGATTGTCATATTCTATTTCACAATATGAATGGTATTCCAAAGCAAATGCTAAAACCCGTATAAACTTTGAAAAATGAACAGATTGAAGTAGGTAGTTGGGACTGGCTAAAAATAATGCAGATTCTATGAATAGATTATAGTTTTGTTTCCTGCGAAAAGCAGAAAACTTAGATGACTTTCTAAGGCAAACAGTAGATTCATAGCTTCAAATTCTCTGCTCTTCTGAAGTTTTCTGCATTGTCACTTACTCATTGTCTCTAGCTTTGAAATGAGATTGCTCATCTTGATTTTGCTGTTGGAAGGTGACTGTGGAATAAACTGTACGTGTTATCAGGATATAGAGAATCAGGAGTGAAAGTTCCATGTTACGGTTGAAGTGGATTGATTAATTGGTAAAATGCCAGTAGCATACAGGAAGCTCTTTATTCACATGTGCAGAATGAACTTCTTTTTTGATCTAATAAGTTTATTTTCAAATTTATTGGCAAGAAACTGTACAGAAAGCAGATACTTGATCACATTCCTTCTTATCCTGTTACCATGATAAATCACACAATCATCCTTTTTTAAAGTACAAAGTCAATATGACCAAAATTGAGTGAGCATATCCGTTTTAATGTTTAAACATTTCCAGTGTAATTAGTACTTGGAGACTTTTTCCTTTTCACATTCCTTTTTGCATATCTGTTAAGATGCTTTAGCTACAGGTAGCAGAAACCTTAAATTGGATTAAAGAGTAAAGAAGTAAATTTTCTCTCAAAACAAGAAGTCTAGAGGTAAAACACTCTTGGGTCAGTTGACTCAGTAGCTCAGCTTTCATCAGTGACCCAAGGTTTTTCCATCTTGCTGCCCTGTGGACTTCGCCCCCAGGCTGGCTTCCTTATAGTTGCAATGGCTGCAGCAGTTTTAGGGGTCACACCCAGACAAGACATTGTCCAGGGGAAGAAGACTGTTTTTTCACTGTGTTTCTTTTTTAAAAGTAAGGAAACCTTTCCAAGAATTCCCCAGTAGAATACTTCTTGCCTCTAATTGGCCAAGGTCAGGTCACATGCCTATTTCTAAACAATCATTGGTAAGGGGAATTTGATCACATGACTGGGAGGGTGTTAATCACCATGCCTATTACCCATGATTTTTGTGTTTTTCTGTTTTCTTCTCTTGTAGGTTATACTTATCCATGTCTCTTTTATCCTCTAGGCATCCTATTAGTGATCTTATTAAATTAATATCTTTATTTTATATATATTTTGAGTTCTTGAGTTCTGAATGAAGGCCTGAGGTTGGTATTGTTCCATTTTCTTCATCAGGAAGAGACCATTTTTGGAAAATTTACAGTTTGATTGATGTTCTGGTTGGATAAGTCTTCCAAAAGCCATCAATTAGTTAAGAATTATTATAACAGTCTTCATTTTTTCAAAAGCCTGTACCTAAAATTGGAATGGAGTCTTGATTTAGGAAGTGGAATATTTTTCTCTGGAGGTCTTTAAAAAACCTGCTAAATATTCAATTAACAGTTTAGGGATGTTTGTGGAAAGCAGAAGAATGAAGAGCACTCATGTATCTATTATTTTCACCAGATATTCATTGAGCACCTACTAAGTGTGTGCTGTATATTGTGGAAATGCTGAGAGGCTGAATTGTAGAGAGATTAATTACCATGGGGCAGACAATGGTCTCATAGATATGAGGTCAGAGGCCAAGCAATTCCACAATGGGGAACTGACACATCACTTATAAATAGGGATTGCTTCGAGTGGGCAACCAT